CCAGCTTTTGAAATGTGTAAAATGCAAAAGTTATTAAATCAGTTTTTCTCCTGCAGTCCCATTTGGTCATTTCCTTTCAGCTTGTTTCAGTGCAATTAAATAAAGAGGTATGCAGAGTATTTTTAAGAGTCAGAAGATACCACCTCCAAATCTGTACCCAATACAAGAAATAGTTCTTACCTATTTAAAAAAAAAATCTCATGCATATTTTGAGGTCTTGGTACAGAAGAAAAGGGAAACAGCAAAATTCAAGTCTCTGGGTTACACTTAAAAACATAATTTCCCTCAACTGTTAACACAGCTTTCCTGTCTTCCCCAAATTTGTATTTTTCAGCATACCTTTTGGACCATAACATGAATAAACCTTAAATTTTCCTCCGGGTTTAATAAAAATAAAAATTAAAAAAAGAAGTATGTGTGTATGTGTGAGAGAGTATAAACCCAAAGCTTTCAAAACCAATATATGACCTCAGCATATGTATTTACACACCAAAGATCAAACCTGGTCTAGGTAAACTTTACAGCACTGTCAATCCTATGGTAAAAGTTGCATTTATACATTTCAGATACTTGCATCCTTCTTCCTCTCCACCTCCCACTCTCTGTCACAAACATACACCTTCAGCTAACACTCTTTGGTTACAAAGAGATTAGAGATTGCAAAAAGAGCTCTGTGAAACTTCACGTTCACAGCAGGGCCAGGTAGTTATGATGAAAGTACCAAACCATGGGCAAATAAAAAGGTGCTAAGACATTTCCTTCTGGTCAAAAAGTCTTAGGTCTCTGTATGAAGCAACATTTTACCTTGCATTTAATATTGAACAAACTGCCTTCTTCATATTTAAAACTCAGCAAACCCAGCATCTAACCTCAGTTACTCACATTACAGTGAAGAGGTATGAACCCTTTCAAGACAGCACTAAAAGAAGCTGTTTCTTTTTCTTTCTCCCATGCCCTCAGCTATTCACAAATAAAACATTTTAATGTTCTTCTAGCTGTTTCAAGGAAAGGAAAGAATTCCTGGCTGGAAGCATTTCTTAGACCAATGCATTGCTTCACTACTTTTCAGCCCCTATACAAATTATCAACTTGGTTGTGGGGGCGGGTGGGACCTAGTTTGAGGCTTGAAATCTTGATGACATCAGACAACTCAATATCTTTGAGAACAAGTATACCACCATCTGAGTACATATTGCATCATTCCCTGTAGCACAAATGCTAGGATATAGTGTATGTAAATGTCTTTTCTGAGGTCAGTATGAACAGATTTATGAAATATGGTACAGAGAGGGGCATAGTCAGACCCCTTCTCTGGCACCACCACTCTTTTTGTGTAAAATTATAACACTCATCCTCATTTGAAAGGCTTTGCCTCCATCTTCTCTCCAATGGTCTGGCTTGTGCCTTGTGGTATGGCAACTTGTCTCATTGCAACTACAGGCAGTCCACGGGTTACATGGATCCGACTTACATCGGATCCCTACTTACAAACGGGGGGAGGCAACCCCGCACTAGCTGCTTCCCCCCAGCAGACCAGGGAGACGTGAAGCTAGCGCCCCCCCCAGCAGACCAGAGTGACGCGGAGCGGCTTTTCTCAGCAGACACCTCAGCTTGAGAATAAAGGACTGAGGGAAGTGAGGTATAGGAGAATAAAACTGAGCTCTGGAGAAATGTTTGGCTAGAGTTCCCCCTACAATATGTACCAGTTCCGACTTACATACAAATTCAACTTAAGAACAAACCTACAGTCCCTATCTTGTACGTAACCCGGGTACTGCCTGTACTAAAATGCTTGTATTTTAAAAGCTAAGAAAAAAGATGTGCTCATTGAAGTTGAATGTGACTGTCTGGCTGGCCAGGAGAAATGGGTGGGAGATTGTTGCCTATTCCTGGGACACCTCTGCAGTTGGCTGGCAGAAAAGTTCACCTGGCTGGAGTAGGGAGGAACAGGAAGTGGCTGGACCAGGTGAGGGAGGAGGAGAGAAATTCCAGAGAAGCCTGCTCTCATCATAGTTGGGCTGCCAATTTCCTATATTGCCCAGTTCATCTGTAGGACTCAAAGGGTATGTCCAGACTACATGGCTCTGTCGCCAGAGCCATGTAGATTAGTTTAGTAGACATAATAATAATAATCTACATAATAATCTACATAATAATCGCCGCTTCATTTAAATTTAAATGGCTGCCGCGCTGTGCTGATCAGCTGTTTGGCGGCACAGCACTGTAGTCTGGATGCTCCGCGATCAACATCAAAGGCATTTGTCGACTTCTCCGATATGCCCCATGGGATGATGTTGCATCTGTCAAAGTGGGTCTTTGCTTATGCTCCAACACTTCATCCCATGGGATGATGTTGCATCTGACAAAGTGGGTCTTTGCCCACGAAAGCTTATGCTCCAACACTTCAGTTAGTCTATAAGGTGCCACAGGACTCCTTGCCGCTTCTGCAGATTCAGACTAACACGGCTACCCCCCTGATAATTTCCACCTTCACCACCTTTGGCTAAATCCCAACCACTATCTGGTTTGTCATCATCCTTCTATCTCATGTGTGTCCTATTTCTTTCCTCATCTTATTTCTTCACTCTCCTAGCCTTCTACTTTTGCCAACTAAGACTCAGGCTTAGATCACCAAGACTGCTTAATTTGCAACTCTGCCATAAGCCTGTGACCACAAATTAGATAAAAGCAATGCTCTGAACAGTCCTATGCTGCTACAAGCTTGCCAGTGCTCAGTGAGATCTGTGTATACTGAACCCCAAACCGAGTTTAAAACTTTGATGTTGGGCAGTTTCAGGATCATACAAAAATGTGACTCTTTGGGCCAATTTATTACATCAACATTAATCTATTAGCTCTTAGGCTAATTAAAAAACCAACACTGACTATTATTAAAGAAATGTGTTGATATAGGTTGAACCTCTCTAGTACAGCACCCTCGGGACCTGACTGGTGCCAAACCAGAGAATTTGCCGAACCATAGGAAGTCAATATTGTGTAGCAGCATTACCAATACTTCCACTGTTTGCTGGGCTCTTAGAAGACATTTAAAGGTAAATTAGAGCTAAATAACAGCCCAGAACATTGAGAGCCAGGACCACGGGAAACTTGGCCAGACCCAAGGTAAGTGGACATCCAGCTAACTCAAATCATGCCAGACCACGGAAGCTGCCAGACCAGAGTGCTGGACTAGAGAGATTCAACCAGTACTTCGAAGAAGTGTTTGAAGCACTGTTTTGTGGCAAATAAATGGTGTGATTATATAAATATGTGTAAACACGTAACGGTATCTAACTACCTCTGTGCCTTCTCCTTCTTTAAAAAGCAACTGAATTAAAACAAGCTAATAATTGATCAACAAACATTTTATACATTATGAATTTAAACAAAAACTAAGTAGAAAAAGCTTCAGGATGAATTTCGAATTATTACAGAGAATAGCTGTAACCAAAACAACTGTCACTCAACACTGTGGCTACTGGACTGTACTTTCTTGTGTGTAGTGATAAAGGGTAATGACAATAGTGTGACCCTCAGCTCACAATTAGCTGGGAATGGGAAGAAAATGAAGTTGTAAAGCCAAAATTTCCTCTCAGGCATACCAGTGTAAATTTGCCATTGTTCAGTTGACGTCAGTGGAGTTACTTTAGATTAACCAAAACTCAGTTAACTGGAGCCATTGTACGTGTAGCTCCTCTGGGAATGATCACACACCTGATTGTGAATTGGATTTTATTTTCTTAAAAAAAGATGATATTCCAAGTGGAAAATTAGGGAGGGAATTCATGAATGTGTAGCATAGAGATAAGAACATCACGCTTTCCCCAACACGTTGCTTAAGAATGGGCTTTCTCTACAGTGCCTTGGAGACTCAAATTAAATCAAGAAGGCTATCTATATTGACCCTTAAACACCCTGAGGGTGAAATTCTAGCCCCATTGAATTCAAGGGAGGTATTGCCATTAACTTCAGAGAGAGTGGGATTTCACCCTTAGGGTATGTCTAGACTGCATCCCTCTGTCAGCAGAGGGATACAGATTAGGCAGGTTGACATTGCAAATGAGGCAGGGATTTAAATATTCTGTGCCTAATTTGCATAAAAATGGCTGCCGGTTTTGCCGACTCAGCACTTTGTCAGCAAAAAGAGGCAGTCTAGAGGGGGAACTGTCAAGAAAAAAAGCCTTTTTTGACAGATCCTGTAAACCTCCTTGCAGGAGGCATAAGGGATCTGTCGAAAAAGGCTTTTTTTCTCGACAGACTCCCCTCTAGACTACTGCTTTTTGCTGACAAAGTGCTGAGTCGGCAAAACCGGCAGCCATTTTTATGCAAATTAGGCACAGAATATTTAAATCCCTGCCTCATTTGCAATGTCAACCTGCCTAATCTGTATCCCTCTGCTGACAGAGGGATGCAGTCTAGACATACCGTTAGAGTCTTGTCCCACTTCAGCAAAGACAGAAGCAAAGCTCCCATCAACTTTAGAAGGAGCTGGTTCAGGCCCTTAGGGAATACCAGTAGTTCTATAAGAAGAATGATGCAATGGAGAGAAAGCACAACAATACTCTGTACTGTCTCTGGAAAACAGGAAGCACTTGCTGTGTTCTTTGAGGTCAAAGAGAATTTGAGTAAGATATGCGTAAAAACAGAAATTGTGACCCATATTATTCAAATTGATTAACGTGCATTATGACTACTCAGGTGAGTAACTGTTCACCAGCACTTGGAAGGGGATGTGTGTCACAATCTGACCAGGAGTAAGGCCCTCATGATCTGGTGTGGAGTCAGTGTATCCAGTGAAAAATTAAGTTAAGAAATCTCCAAGGCTGTATTGGAGCTAATGTACGGATCCTCAAAACAACAGCTGTAAATGACAACTGGTCTAGCAAGCCTGGGACTTAGGATTCCAGAATCATTGCCATCTCTTGTGAGCTGTGGTTGTTATTAGATGCCAGAAAACACTTTAGATCAGAGAAAAAACAGGACAGAATTTTGAAACACAATCTTTATTTTTCATCCAAAGGCAGAATGCGTCATTTGCCATCAGGCACTATCCATAGAAATATTAACACTTTAAGACATGTTTTGCCCAAATCAAGCTACATGCACCTTGATGTTCAATGAAAATATTCAACTTTATCAACTCTTCTCTTCACTCTCATCTAGGTGGAATACATGCATTGATACCAACTGATCACTTAGGAATGACTAACTCAGCCAGCATGCTATATGAATAACTTCCTTTTCAGGTAAATCCATGACAGGTACCAAAATCAGAGCTGGTGTCTTCTCGCCCAATTGTTCTTCTAGGTAGTATTGCAGTCCTAAAACAGGAACAAAATGCATGATGAATACCTTCTGGTTATGTTTTAGTTATTAAACAAATACATTCTATACTGTAAGAAGTGTGTCTTGTCGTAAAAATGACTTACACATATATTTAAACAAATCACCAGTTCTGGGATTCTGAACATCATATGATAACTAGCAAAGGTAACAGAAGTACTCAGCACATTACCGAGATTTAATTTACCCTTACCTAATTTGTGACTTAGGGTGTGATATGTGTGTTTGCAAGTCACATTTAAATTAACAGAAATACTATATATCTTCACTGCTATCTGGTCACAGAAATGTAACACATTACACTAGATACTTTGCATCTCCTTATGGACCTGTTCTATAAAATGAAATGGGATAAAGCTTTTAGGAGTCCAGAGAAGAGCAAAAGTTTGATTAGGAGTCCAGAGTTAATGTCTTATGAAAATATTTCAACTAAACAAACAGACGCTGAAAACTATGAGGGGCTGTGACAACTCTCTACAAAAGCGTAAAGGATACAAATACCACGGAGGGCATGGAATTCATGTGATGCATAGGGTGTCTCATTAGAAAGCTAATGGAATGGAAAAAAGGAATGGCAAATTTAGGCAGAATATTAAAAACATCACATATAACCTTGCTAACAAAGTCACATAGCACTTTTGAAACTTGTGCAGAAAAATGCTAAAAATTATACTGAAGGGACTGATCCTAGGCTGCCGGGTTTAAATTTTAATAGGCCTTTTCTGTTTTTAACTTTTGACATTATACTGACACTTGGGCTATGTCTAGACTGCAGGCTTTTTTCAGAAGAAGCTTTTCCGAAAGAGATCTTCTGAAAAAACTTGAGAAAGAGAGCATCCACACTGCAAAAGTGCATCGAAAAAGTGATCTGCTTTTTCAAAGATAGTGTCCACACTGAATGGACGCTATCTCACATGTAAGCTGTGATTACTATGGCTGGAGTGGCCACCAGGGCACCTGTGCTTTTCCCTCTTTCCTCTTCTTGCGAAAGAACTCCCTCTCCCCGGTCCACACATGCCTTTTTCCAAAAAAGCTCTTTTGGGAAAACGCTTTTTCCTCATAGAAAGAGATTTAACTATGTCGGAAAAACCCCTCAGTTCTTTCAATTTTTTTTTGAAAAAACGTGATTGCAGTGTGGACGTAATTAAAGGTTTTTTGGAAAAAATGCTGTTTTTATGAAAAAAAAATCTGTAGTGAAGACACACCCTTGATAACATTAAAAATTCTTGGCTAGACAAACCGTGTAAAGAGGGCAGAACTTAAACGTTTTTTCTCCCCCACTCCCACTGAATGTGAGGCTGTGAATACATAGTTCAATCAAAGTGTTAACATGGTTAACATGTAGTTGGTGGAATTTTGGCCCAACCAAAGTCAATAGGAATGTTGCCACTGATTTCAGTGGGTTCAGATTTCACATACTGTTTTTACCGAACATCAACAGAAGGAATACATCTATATGTCTTTTAACAGGGATGTTACCATATAAATGTGGCAACTAGAAAAACAGACTAGCCCACTAAAATGCTGCTGAATTATTTTGCATTATAAATTGTTGATATTAGAGATGAACATTGACAGAGGTGAACTTTAGATCAATATTCAAGGCAGGGTTAAAGGACTTTATGTTCTATGTAATAAGCAACTCAATCTATGTATCACCGCGATTCAGTAGTTCACCGGATTAAGGGTAAGTTACCATTTCTATTCTGGACTCTGATTTTGGGTGACTTCATAGATATACTGACTCAAAAGACATTGGGTCAAAGAATTCAGAAAATTGTTAGCTCAGTGATAAAAAGACAATTTAAATTATATTTTAATACAGGTTTTTTGGGTCTATATTTGGCTTTTAGAAACTACCCTCTTCTTTCACTTTAAGTTCTCATGGGCTTGTAGCCAAGGACTACCACCAGAATAAACATGGGTATTGTTTTCAAATAGGATATTTGGCAAGGAGGTGATCTGATAGTAAACTCAACTCTTTTTGTACACGATGGTTACCCAAAATACCTACTTTGGAAAACTCGCTAATAAGCTCCGAGTCAAAAAATGACACATTTTCAAAAGATTACCTTTCTTCTTGTTGGTGCAAATTGCAAAATACAGTTTTAACTTTCAGTTGAATTATGGATGAAAATCTGGTACTTGCACCTCCTGCTGTTTTATTACAGGTGAAAAACAGGTAGTTAGGTAGGCAAGGATTCTGTTTTGGATTTGCAGCTCATTTTGTGAGTCTAAAAATGCAAGAGTAAAAATCTGCAGGTACCAAGTTCACTGGCCAATATGGGAGGATAGTCCTCATGACATCTAAAGGTAAAAATGTAAGCCAAAGTGTGGGGGAGACAAGCACTGCAATATTAGTGAAATTGGATCAGTTAAGTGGCCATAGCTGATTCATTTAAGAATACAAAGGCTACATCTTTTATCTCTTATAAATAAAAAACTGACTCTCTAAGTAAGTCCTTTCTTCTACTAATTGAACTATTTTTAATTATGCCGCACTAATAAAAAACAAATCCTTAAGGTTTCCAGAAAACTATGCTTTTAGATAAATAGCAACTCTAGTCAGCAGCATTCATATTTTATATTAAGCAATTCTTTGCTTAAATGACTAAGATTTCAAGCATCTTTTTATCAATGCTCTATGCTGAACCAATTGTTCACTCATGTCATTCCTGTAAATATTTTTCTTAGAAACAAAAACGAATAAAACAATATATAAAATCAAGTTCAATGGAGAATTTAGGGATTCATTTCAAACATCAATAAACAAGCATTTATCAAAGAGCTACATATAGCATTTTCAGTTGTGTGTAACTCCTCCCATTTCTACTTGGTATTACCCCCACACAGATGATAGCCTAACTCTGTGGGTGCCCTCCACTCCCATCATGTACAACAAGGGCCCCAGACTGCCACCAGGAATTTTCCTACCTAAATCAGAGACAGCTGAGAGACATATGAAGAAACAAAAGCAAACCAACTCAAGCTATTTGTTCTTACTGTCCTTCTGGTAAAAACAGGAGAGAATTCAGATCAATAGTGCAGTGACCTTTCACACTGACCTAACACCCTATATATGTCACCATGGCACTTTCTAACATTATAAGCTATGGCTTTAAAGGTGGCCTTCATGCTAAACAGCTCCATGAGTGCCAAAGCATCCTTTTATGGAATCATTCTAAACCTTTACAAAAATAGTCTTTACACCTGTGCTTAATTTAGATCCTTAGATCCTCTTCTGCAGTCCTTACTGGTATGAGCTGAAGCCAGTGAGACTGCTCATGTGGGCAATGCTTGCAAAAGTAGCGCCATTATCCTGATACTTTCAGTGGCAAACACTCTCCAGCAGTTCGTAATGGGCCAGAACTAATCTGATTAAAATCCTGCCTTGAAACGGAGAATGGTAGCAGAAAGAAAGTGTGTGTCTCACCCAGATCATAAAAATATATTTGATGCTACAGCTACACTCTTCTCTCACTTGGTAACCAAAAAGATATTGTTTCTTCACTTAGTTCAGGTCTTTAAATCCCTGAGCTAATAAAGCTCCATTGCTTCAGCTGTGTAGATTTGACACGAAGCATGTACTTCAAGAAGAAGCCTCACAGGGGATCAGATTCCTAACAGTTGACTAAGAGTTCCAGTCCCACAAGATGTGCCCCTGGTGTGCAGGGCACTTAACCCTTCGACCAGTACCAACATGACTATTCACAAATTATTGATGTCCCTAAATCCCTGGCAGATTGCAGACAGTTCTCGTCTCCCTTGAAGCTGAAGCATATGGCCACTAATGGGATGGATTAAAAAAAATACATACACACATTGCCACATGAATGTAAAGCCACAGAAATGGTAGAAGGTGATTGAACTGGACTGAACACTGTTAAATACATGATTAGCCTCTTGTTATGGATCATTTCCATTGATCTATATCTGGTTTCACAGTACAGTTTAATTAAAGCTGTCTGGAACAAGCCTGTTCCCTAAATGATCAGGCAGTGCAATGAAAAGCTGAAACACGAGGAAGCTTGAGGCTTTTTAAAAAAAGATCCAACTAGCTGTCGTTGTGGCTAACAATAGTGGCAGGGAAGGAAAATACATTTAAGAAAAATTAACTGTTTTTTTTAATCAGACTTACGTGCCAGAGAAATCAATTAGCTTTTCCAAGGCTGTTCTTATCATAATATAATGTGTTTTGAGTAAATGCAGAATTAAAAAAAAAGCGTACAACCTACTTGTTTCATTCGGAGTAAAATCCTCTTGCTTGCAATAAGCACTAAGCCTATTAAATAAAAACCATCTTGATAGAAAAATATGCTGAAAAAATAAAAATGAAATAAAAAGAAACTATTCCCAAAGAATGATCTGCGGTGATTTTCTCTGACAAGGTTCTAATTTTGTAAGGAAAAATTAGGACATTTTATACACTTTAGTATTTAGATTTTCATTAGCTCCTTTTTTATCTCTTTTTCTTCTTTTTCCTAATGATATTTTAAAGAACCGGCTGGATATTCTCTTTGTAAAATATATGAACCAGATTTTCAAAACTACTAAGATCCAGACAGCTGGGGGCAGATTTTCATAAGAGTTCTGCTCCCATTTTGGTACCTAAGCAAAATGACCAGATTTTCAAAAGGACTAATACATTACTATACATTCTTATATTTTTATTTCAGACTTTTAAAGTTAGGATCATAAGATTCTACAATCAAGAATATTAAAAACAAATACTAGGAGAAAAGAGAATTTAACAATTACTAAACGTAATAAAATATGATAGGAGCACAGGTCTGGGTGCCAGTTACTCCTGATTTCTTATCCTGGTTATAAAACCAATTATCCTTGGTCCTTGTGCAGGTCAGAAGGTCTCTTTGTCTGTTTCTCATCTGTAACATGACACTAATGCTGATTTACCTACCTCTCATGGGAGTTCAGGGGTTAATTACCATTTGTAAAGCATCAGATATGTCTCAATAAT